AAAAAAAAAAATACATTTCTGCTGTTAAAGCCAAGTCAGTAGTATTTGTTAGCCCTAGAAAACTAATGCAAGCAGATAAGTATGAACAAGTATAAGGTTTACCTTCAGAGATAAGCAAACATTCTGAGCTCTTATCAATTCTCTCATTAAATGTAAAATGGAATATGCCACCTCTTCCAGACTCAAAACCTAATGCAAAATAATTAAAATTTTTGCTATGAAATACCATCCATTGGCCAGTTTGGTGAAGGTTTTATTTTTTCCTGAAAGGAACTGTTCTTGTTCTCTCATCTCCTCTTCCTATAATATAGCAGCCCTCACCTCCACCCCACCGAATGATCCATGATGCATGACCAAACTCCTGAAGATACTTATACTAGGTTATCGCAATCTTCCCAGAGAGACCTTTTTAAGAAGTCACTCTCCAAATTATCACATGCTGGCAAATTTTAGACAAGAAAAACAAAGCATCTAGAGGAGAGAGAGAAGAAACCGATTTAATTAATTCATCACCAAGGCCAAAGACATATAAATCTTATCATTCTATCTGTCAACCAACACAATGAATTATTCAGAGCCCAGAATCCCAAGAAGGAAGGCAGAAAGAAAGTGGTTAGAAAGCAGCTGGCTGAGCAGAAGAAAGTGCTCATAGCTCACCACAAAACCAGCCTGGTGGTGGCCAAAGTTCAGAGGCAGGTCCCTTTGATAAGTAAGCAGCAGGCTATTTTCTTCCGGAGAAGAACTCCTGGCTAAGGAGCTGCAAGTGGGACCACCACCTGCTCTTCTGCTAAGGTGGTCTGAATGGGACTCTGGGCAACTTTACAAATGCAACTGTTTTCTGAGCAAGGGACCTTCCAAAAAAATATTGTGCTGGGATCTCTTTAAAGTGAAGTTTTCTGTGTTCTACACTTGTCGTCCCAAATTTCTAAAGACCGAGGACAGTCTGCTATGTTGTAGAAGATAAAATGTAAAATATGTACCATGGCTAGGACCCTCAGAGAAAACTTCTATTAAAATTATAAATATGAAAACATTTTTTCAGGCAGATGTACATCAGAATTCTATAACATAAAAATAAAGGAAGAAAAAAGAAGGCAAAAATATACAGAAATCCCTTACCAACTGAAGGCTGGTAAACAAATACATTTCACTATTTATATGTCCCTAACCACTAAACTAGCCTATACGTTGATAAATATAAGATTTAAAAAACAGATGTAAAACCAATGCTTAAAATATCCTATTGGGATATTTTTCATAACAGAAGAATGTAAACACATTTTATGAGACATTTAGATTTTATACTAATAAATGTGGCTAGGGCTCTGGATTCTTCACACAAAAACCCCCTGCATTTTTTAAAATAGAAACACTTAGCCATCATGGTAATCAACATTTTTGAAAAGATTCCTAGCTGAACACACAGTGTCTACCTAGTACACTGCCTGACACAGAGGTGGTGTGAGTGATGCTGAATAGAAATGAGCATGAAGGGGGCTGGGAAATCTACAAGAAGGGACAGCACAAGTCCCCTAGATGCCCATTAAGAATGGGATTAGTTCTCTCCTGACATACACACCTAACCAGGTACTACGTGAAATACCCCAGGAGACACACAGGAGAGTGTGGTCTTAGTTTCCCCAGAAGGACCTCAGGACCCCCTGGGCTGCCCTGGGATAAAGACTTCAGGCAAATCTGTAACATAATCAGTTTGCTAAAGACTGCAACTAAGCATAGGGTGAAAATATGGGTATAGTAATGCCTCTCCAGGGGATTTCGGTTTCTTCTATCTGTCTTAATGTGAACCCACTAAATGTAAATCCCATGGGGGTGGCAAGATGAGGGTGGGGGTGGGGGTGGGAGGAGTCGTGATGGCAACAACTGAGAACAGCAGCTCTGAGGACTTTTCTTCCAGGACATGGGCAAGAGGAGCAAGGAGAGTTAAAAAGAAAAAACTTTCTGAATTTCATAAAAGGTTCTTGTGTTTTCTCTCAGAAGGAAGGGCATTTACTTCTTCCCAGACACTGGAGAGCACGTTCTTTAATTCTGGAACAAGGCTGGCAGTGGGGTGATCAGAAACAAACATCAGTTTCATGGTGCTATGACTCCTACCACCTCCATCAAAAGATTTGTTAAATGACTGCTGTGAGCTACACCCTCGCCTAGGACTACAGGCAAACAAGTGTATTCCGAGTGTGAATGAGAGGTGCATCAGCAAAGCTCTGTGAGGTTTCCTGGTCCTTTTAACAGAGAAGTGAAAGGGCACAGCTGGGATGTGGGAGTTGGAGTCAGAGGTTGAGTTATCTTGATTGCTGATTCTCTTGATTTCAAGCTTAAAAACTAATTAAATATGCAAAGGACCTACTTGATATTGATACAATCACTCTCCAGATCCCAAATTCATGGGGTCAGATTTTAGGACTAAAAAAGGATCGTGAAGAGTTAATTTGTGGGTCTTTTTATCTGAGCAATGCCAGACCATGGAGCTCACCATGTTTTACAGAGAGTCCTGTGATTGCAGGGTCTTTTCTGGGTCTCTGGCCATTTGCTTAATTTTGTTCTCCATTTCTATCACACTGAATCTTATCAGATGCAGGTTAATGAGAAACCAGACTGAGAACCAGTCAAAAAGATTTAGAGGATGCTGTGCAGCCAATCCTTGAAGCAATGAGGTAAGTAGTGAGGAGTCACATTTAACCTGTGCAAGGCTCAGCCCCTTTAGCTGAGGGAGAGAGCAACCCAGGAACACCCAGGTAGTGCGGCTCTGCAAATTCCATCACTCACTAGCAGCTGCTTTTAACTGTTTCCATCCTGAGCAAAAACCACCCAGATCCTGTCAGCCTCTAACCTCTAACTAATGCATAATCTCCATCTCCCTGCTGATCATTTACACTAATTAGCAAAATTTAGCTAATTATCGCTGAGCGTTTCCTCGTGTAATTATAGCTATTAGTAATAGCTATCTGGCTTCCCCCACTTCCTACTCCGCTTCTCCTCCTTTCCCATCCCCCCCTTCCCACTCCCATTCCTCCTTGGGAGATAAGAGTTTCCATTTCACTGAAACAGTTTTTTGGTTGGTGGTCATAGCTCTTACTTTTTTCAAGAGAGCCTACACCAGACCCGGAAGGAGCCACAGAGAAAACAACAACCCTATCCACACCAAGATGAAGCCTTGTCCCCTCCCCAGCATCCCCTTCCACCAACCTTCACAACTCCATCAAATAAAACGTAAAGGCAGTCCTGAAGAGCCGAAGTGTGTGCTGGCATTTTCTCAACGTGCTCCCACTTAACACTGCAGGCTGCACAGAGCACAAGCCCATGACCAGAAGGCTGGGGGAAGAGTTAACTTTCTGAACGGGGTCTTTGAAATACAAGCAAAGGCAGAGACCCCCTGGTGTGGTCACGCTCAGGCTCGGGAGGGCTGTTCTGCTTCTGATCTACATCTCTGCGGTACCTATACTTCCCACCGTCGGAATCCAGTGCATAGTAAACAAACCAGAGGCTCCCTTCTTTAGAACAGTTTACTACAGCGAGCTCCTAGCTTAGCCGCAGACATCATCCTTTTAAAGGCAGCCTGCTCAGAGCTGAATATGTATTTTAAGAGCCATAGATCTCTTCCCGCAATAGCCATTCAAGATGCGTTGATTTGTGTGAACCAGCCCATGCCTGCTATCTTTAATTGAAATAGTGTTTGCATAAATGTTGGAATTAAAGTTACAATATTTCACACTTGGGTACATTATAAATGTACTTAGCCTTATCGTACACACTGCTTTCTCGATGAGTGAACAAGATTAGGTGGACAGGTTCAGTGAGAGCTGCTCTTTCCACCAGACATGTAGGCAAATGTAAAGCTGTGAAAATGAGCCATAATGGCCACTAGCTACTAATTCTATTTTCTTCTGACACTCAGGGACTCCCCCACTGACCTTTGCCACACAGACAACTTTCAGACATTTCTATCAAGTTCAGGCAGAAGACCTGGTTCCTGCTGTCTATTTCCCGGCGACTAGCTCCTAAAGGAGACGGAGTTAGGAAGGGTGAAAGCAAGGTGAGTGAATGCATTCCCAAGAGCAGCTTCCAGACTTGTCTAACAAGTTGCCTGCCCTTATGGGGGGGGGGGGGTGCAGCCACTGGAAGGCTGCAAAGGAGAGAGTGGTGTTTGCAGCTAAGAATGAAGGAGCTACCTTCAGGAGAGCCCTTTAGAGAAAAATGGGGACTAGGGGCAGAAAACACTAGCCTTTGAGAGATAGCGGACATTTTTTTTTTATCCTTCATGCACATGCAATGCTTTTCATCATTTTAAATTCCATTTTTGGTGCTCGCCTCCCATCCCCGGCAACACTACCTGAAATGCCAGTGGGTGAAGGAATTGCTATGCCCCCAGTAAAAAGGATAAAGAGCAGAGAAACCCACCGTGCCCTCCTCGAAGGGAAACTGGGGAGCGATAGATAGAAATAGGCACTGAGTGATGCTTGCTGCCATGGAAATGGTGCTCCTGCTGAGAGTGAGACCCCGGCGAGGAAGAGGAGGAGGAGGAAGAAGAGGAGGAGGAGGAAGCTACATTAGAGGAACTCCACACAGAACTGATGATACATCCCCAGAAGAGGGACCAGATTCCGAGTGTCCAGGCCGGCCGGCGAGGAGGGCTCCGTCTCGCGTGGATTCTCAGGTGCATGGTCAACGCACAGGACCACTACAGATGGGCAGTTCGAATTCCTGCCAATGAGGAATAATGAAGTTCATGATGCCCAGGGGCCCATCATAGGAGGAAGAGTTGCCTGAATTTCAGAAGGAGAGAAACAATAAGCGCTTCCAACGCTTCCAAGATAATGATGAATCAGTTGATTAAAAAAAAAAAAGGCACTACTTAAAAAAAATGAAAGAAAAGAAAAGCAAAGGCTAAAGGGCAAAGCCCTCCTTTCCCGAAGCTGATATTTAGGATGCCAGAGTCCACCCAGGTCTGGCAAACCTCCGAGCGAGCCCCGACATGCCACACATGTCAGGGGCGGACCCGCGAGCTTTCCTGCGGAGCTCCCGGCACCTCGAGCCTGATCACTGAACTGCACGCTCCAGGCGAAGGCGCAAATGAAGGGAGAGGAGCCGACAGCCGGAGACCCTGGGAGGCTCAGGTTAGTTTACCCCAACATCCACGGAGTTGGAACATTTTTTCCCCCGTTCTGTTTCCACTTCCAGGCGATGTAATGCAGAACTGCCGGGCTCAAAGGAGCTGCAGGTGCAAGAGTTCTGTTCCTTGGGAGTCTAGGCGGCTGGCGCGGAGGCTGTTAACCCTGCGTGTCCTGGACGAGCGCCATGGAGCAGCCGCCTGCTTCTTGGGTTTCCCAACCGGATAGAAGAAGTGCAGCAGCAGTAGCAGCAGCAGCAGCCAGAGAAAGGGAAGAAGAAGAGCCGGAGGCAAAGAGGCGCGCAGACCTAGCTGCCACCCTAACCAAGAGGCACGGGGTGGAGGGAGGCGGGTGGGCGCAATCGGGCAGAGCACGAAAAGAGGTGCCCGGCAGAAGGCAGAGGTGGCCGGGAGCGGGCAGGCGCCTGCAAAGTGCGCGGCCCAGGGAGGCACAGGTGAAGTGAAGCGAGGAGTTGGGGAGCTAAATTCACAAATGGGCAAGTCCTATGCAAATAGCGCACTCCCGAGAGCAAATCAGTGCAGCCCGAGCGCTCTGCCGAGGGACTGGCTGGCTCCGGGAGGAAGGAGGGGCCCGAGCGCAGCGGAATCCCGGCCCTCCCCATTCAAGCACACGCTCGTATACACCCGCGCGAGCCTCCCGCGCACACCGCCCGCCCGCCCTCCCTCCCTGCGCTCGGCTCCCACCTGGCCCGAGCGCGCGCGTGCGGGTGAGACCGGCGGACGCACGCCTCGCCGCCTTGAGCACCTTCCCGCGCGAATAAGGTGCCTTTTACAATTGGAGAAGAAAAGATGGACCGCTAAGGCCCTACTAGCTCCAGATAGAAAGAAAAATAAATCCCTCAGTCAGCGAGAGCGCTGCGGGCAGCGCGCACCTGCTCCGCCTCTCCCTGGGTTAATCCCCAGGACTCCACCGGCAGGGCGAATGGAGCGGAATCTGCTTCCTGCTTGTGCAAAGTGAAAGAGATTGGGGTGGCTCAGGGACTCTGGAGGGTGCCAGGCTCCGTGGCTGGCGGCCCAGCTAGGAGGCGGCTTCCACCCGTGGCGGAAAGGAGGCTCTTGGAATTCAGGACCCAGAGGTGAGCGCCCGCGGCAGCTGTCCTGGACCAAGAACTTTAGACGGGGCGAGGGCCGGGTCCGTCGGCCGAAGAGTGGTTCGCCTCTCCCGGACCTGCCTCCTCCGACGCGCTGCCCCAGGTGGGTGAAGTCCCCAGGGCGCTGGGCACCAAAGACAGCGCGGTGTTTATATCCGCGCTGCACCTGCAGGGGGGAGCTGGAGTGGCCATCTGTGACGCCAGGAGGTGGCTGATCTGGGCTTCAGCCAGGGAGTGATGACTTTCCGGACCAGGTGGCCTTGGCTGCTCCACTGCGCGTGGTGAACAGGCGGTGCACACCCAACGGGCAACCTTCCCAGACCCGGCTCCTTTCCAGACTGGACTTGCTAGCTTTGGTTCCTTCCTGTCCACGCACCTTGGTTAAAAAAAGCCCATTACATTGACTGAGGGGAGACTGGGGGAAGAACGCTTGCTGCTTAAATCATAGCGTATATATTGTATGCAGGTGGCATTTTTTTTTTTTTATAAAAGGAGCCTATAGCATTTCTTGTATATCTAACTGCATTCAATGGCCATTTCAAACTCCTTGGGCTTAAGAGGTCCCATGGAGATGTTGGGAAAGTAGCATTGTCTCTGTAACTGATCAGGCTCTTGCCCATCCAGATGTGCCTGCCTGCAAAGTCAAATCTCAAGTCCATTTCAGACCGGGTTCTCCTGCTGGGGACCTGAATTCTAGTTCTGAAGTCGGACTTCTAAAGCCCCGTTGTGTCTGGTGATTGGTGCGCAGGGGCATCCTAAGTGTCCTGGCTCTCAGCAGCAGAGTGACCCAAAGCCACAGCCTGAGAGGGAAGAGGCCCTCTGTCAAGGTCTTTCCTACCTTTGCAATGCACCCATGGACACTCAACAACTCCACTCGCGTTCTGCTCCATAAAATGTGGACAATGCCTCCTCGTGAGGGGGGAGGGGTCTTACAGGAGACGGCACCTGACAGTGGCAGCACACTCTTTGATCACTAGAAAAACCACCCGAAAATCGCTGATGGCTAAGGACGTGATTAGGGTCTCAGGCTATTCTCGGGAAAATCAGGGGGGAGTTTAATATCCGAAGTAGCCTCTCTCAGAGTACACAGTTCTCATTCATTTCAAATCACCAGAGGGATCCCCCACTGCCCCTTGGACTTACTCTCAGCCTGCATCGGGGCCTTGTAGGGACCTAGAAGACCGGGCATGGGCCTTGCTCTGCGGTTCCCTTACAACTCTGCTTTTCTGACCTCCGTTTTTGCTCTTCAAATGTGCCTCGCTCTTTCCCATCCTAAAGACTTCAGGACCTTGCTGGTATCTCTTCTCCGGAAGGCTCCCCCCACCCCCCAGGATTTTCACATGATCAATGCATTTTCAATACCACCCTATCAGAGGCCCTTTCGGGCCTGCATCTAAAATGAGCCACCACCACCCATGAGAGGTGTTCTATCTAGCCCATGATCCATTTCATTTTCTTCACTGTCATCCCCACTTTCTGCATTTGTTTCATATGTGTATTTGCTAATAGTCTTCCTCCTCAAAAACTATTGTAAGCTCCCTGAAGTCTGAGTCCCTGTCTCGTTTTCCTCCATAACCTGTGTGTGCTACACGGGGTCGCACGTTGTAGGAGCTGAATGAACAAACCCACTGAATCGTGCCTATCTCGGGCTCACATCTTCTCCCCCATTAGTTTTGATGGCACGTGCATCTGACTTTAGTGGCATCGATCCCCAGAGACAAGCTTTCCAGAATTGATAAGCCCACTGCCTACACACCTAATGTTTTCCTGCTTTTCTGAAGTGGCACTGAGCACTGGACACTCTTCTGATTTCATCCTGAGGAGCACGGGAAGCTTGGGTAGGCTTTCTGATTAATTCTCTGCTAGGCAATAAAGTGAAAATAAATCCTTAATGCAGCACAAAGCCTGGACATGCTGCTGGTACATCCACCTGGGACCATTCCTTTTACTTGTCACCCTTAAAACTTATTTATTTACTTTTTTTAAATGTCTAAAGAAGTAGCAGTGAATCCTCATCAGGCAGATTTCTTTCAGTGGCACAGCTGAATACTAAAACCATTTATCAGAGGACAAGACTGATTTTACTGCTTCCATTCCGTCCCAACAAAATGCATGTCCTTCTCCGATATGATATTTATTTTTTTCATGTTTTCTGCCCCTCTAGTTAAGTTTCTTTTCAAATTCCCATACTTGCATTAGGCTAACATATTAAATACATTGTTAAATATATTTATATGTTATATTCTAAATAGTACCTGTAGCTGGAAATCCAGCAGAGGTATTTCTCATCACCTATAGCAGCATCAACAGCTCCCCTCTTTTCACCCAAGTTCTGTTCTCCAGTGGATCCCTTGCGTGAGAATACTTGGGAATCAAGTGTGTGGTGACAGGATGAAGATGAGAGTATCCTTTTAATATGGAAGAGAAGGAGATGTAAAAACATTGTGCTCACCATAGATTTCAAGTTGAAAACTGTCAGTGATTCCACAGCCACACTTAGCTCCACCTGAATAAACCCGATAGAATCCTCATCACACTCTTTGGAACCTGAACTCTCTAAAAGAAATGCAGTTTTTAAAAACCCATGTGCTCAGATTGCTTGGTCAGTCTTTGCGGCCAGCAGGAGGCAGCTGTCATGCTGCTGGTGGGGCAGACAGGGAATAACACCACCACACAGACCCAGGGAGACCTAAAGGCTTCGGAGCACTCTGTTTCTGCCCTGAGCCCTTCAGTGTAAATCCTCTTTTTCCATAATAAGAGAGTAGAAACCCTTCCTTTCTCCTTCTGCGTTGGGCTCCAAAAGGCAGTTTAGGGAGAGAAAAACAAAAACAAAACCAAAAAAAAAAAAAAAAAAAAGCACACAACAACCAAACTCTCCTAATAAGAAATGAAATGAAAGTCCTGAAAACGTGCAGGTGACTGTTAATATGGCCATAAATATATCTAAGGGTTCCAGTGACTCCGTAAAACAGTCCAACTTTGCTTTATTATATGTCAGTAGATTTATTGATAGCCACATAATTCATCCTTCTCCTCATTTATTTAAGAAAGCCATCCTGAAAAAGGCAAGTTTTTATTATATTTTCCATTTGGGGGTTTAAAAGAGACACTTTATTCTTTTAAACATCACTCCTAAATGTATTTGACTTAAAAAAAGACAGGGCATCCTTGTATAAATGTATAGCTTAGAGAATGTATTGCTTCTGTTTCTTTAACTTATCCTTCTCCTAAACATCGATAGTTACTCCCTTGTCCTCCTTGTGGTTGCAAGAGGGATATCACAGATTTGGATGTTGAGAAAAATCTCTAGAAAATTTTCCAAATCTCCTAAATTTAATCAGAAGGGCTAGGACAGTTGTAAGAATATTTGCATATTTTAATAGTAAGAAAAATATAAGTTATTTCTTAGCCAGCTTCTTTCAAAATCCAGAAGGAAATTTTTTAAGATTTATTTATTGGGGCTGGCGCTGTGGCGCAGTAGGTTAAAGCCCTGGCATGAAGCGCCGGCATCCCATATGGGCGCCGGTTAGAGACCTGGCTGGCTCCTGGCTTTGGATCAGCCCAGCTAGGCTGTTGTGGCCATCTGGGGTGTGAACCAGTGGATGAAAGACCTGTTTGTATCTACTTCTCTCTTTAACTCTTTCAAATAAATAAAATAAATCTGTAAAAAAAATTTATTTATTTGAAAGACAGAGTTACAGCAATGAAAGGAAGAACAGAGAGACAGAGAGATCTTCCATCCATTGGTTCACTACCCAAATGGCTGCAATGGCCAGGGCTGGGCTGGACCCAAGCCAGGAGCCTGGAGCTTCTTCTAGGTCTCCCACAGGAATACAGAGGCCCTAGTACTTGGGCTGTCTTCCACTGCTCTTCCAAGCACATTAGCAGGGAGTTG